AATCCTAACTTCTTGGGAAGACTGTGGTTCAAGGACAACTCCAGCAAATAGTTTGGGAGACATTATCTCCAAAATGCGCAGAGCAAAATGGAGTGGAGGGGTGGCTCAAGTGGTAGAGCACCTGCTTTGCAGGGGCAAAGCCCTGAGTGCAACCCCCTACCCCGAAAAAAGAAAGAAAGCTCTCATTTCATAGCAGCAACCAAACTCTACAACAAAACTAAACGCAAAGCTAGGAAGCAAACAAAACTTATGGAGGAGATAAATAGAGAAGAGAAAAGCAAGAGAAAATCAATGAAACCAAAAGTTGGTTCTTTGAACAAGTTAACAAAATTGACAAAGGGAAAAGGTAGTGGACTGAAGTTGCAGAATTTGAAAATGAAGTGGGAATGTTATTACCAACTTTGCAGAAACAAAAGGATTATAAGAGAATTCTGTGCAGCACTGCATGCTAACCACAATGGAATATTATTCAGCCATAAGCAGCCATAGATGGATGCATGCTAGAAGGTGGACAAGCCTTGGGAACATTAAGATTCCACTTAGAAGAAGCATCTGGAATAGGTGAATTCCTAGAGACAGGGTAGAGGTTACCAGGGGCTGGGAGAGGAAAGGGGGAGTTAGCGTTTAATGGATACAGAGTTTCTAGTTGAAAACTGAATTGAAGAATTCTGGAAATAGATAGTATAATAGCGAGGATTGATTTAATGCCACCTACTGGTACTCCTAAAAACAGATTAGCTCAAATTATGTTGTATGTATTTTAATCTCATTTAAAGAAATAACACTTCTAGGCCAGGCATTAGTGTACATGTCTATAATCTCAGCACTCCGGAGACTGAGGTAGGAGAATCTGGGCTATGTGGTGAGAACCTGTCTGTCTCATAAAGAAAATCTGAGCCTGTGAGAATTTGACACGTTTGTTTGTGGGAAGTGGCCTGAAGTAAACCTGCCAGCATCACTAGGCACAGGAGACCCTCCCAGGACAACGCATGGAACACTAGCTACCACCAGACTGACCCAGAGCACCTGTCAGCCTGGTGAGGGAGAAATGGGGGGCAGTGCCCATCCCAGGCTCACGGGGACAGCTCAGTGTGGCTGCTTGGGGAGAGAGAGAGCCCACGCCACAGGTCACCCTGACGTTTGTGAGAAACTGACGACACTTGTAAGGTGATTGAGAGGTAGGTGTCAACACTGAGGATGTTAGATGTCACAGGCACAATGTTGGGGTCATGTCTAGTCCTAGAGTTAGGGGGTCTGATGCAGGAGCCCCTGTTGGAGCCTGGCTGAGGGACATCCCGCCCTGACCAGGGGGTAGAGACAGATTTCCCCGAGGAATGTGGACCAGAGTGAATTAGGCCTGCCAGACAGAGGGAACAGAGGTGGGCAGAGGTCAGAGCTGGTGACAGCAGGGGTGACATCAGCAGGACAGCAGAGGGTCACTGAGCATCTCTCCATGTGAGTTATTAAACTGAGTCCTTTGACAACTCCATGGGGAAGGTGGATTGACCATCCCCATGCACTGATGGGGAAACTGAGGCTTTGAGTACAGGCACCCTGTGCTCTCAGAGTGGCAGAACCAGGCTTTGAACTCAGAGCCTGTGGGACCCCATGGGAACCACATGACAAGGAGGCTGTATCTGGATCCTGTAGGAGGGACCTCTGGGCTTTGCAGTTCTGTGAACCTTTGTTACTGGTGCCCAGAGAGTTCATCCTACCTTCAAATAGGCTGGCCCTAGTACCGGCAGAGCCCTGGCCAAGGGTCAGCCATATTAACCCCCACACAGGTTATGAGGGCCCTAGAGGCAGCCAGGACCCCTGGGATCCAGGGAGGCCCCTATGAGGTTGGAATTTAGGAAGACCCCAGACTGCAGTGACAGAGATGGTGGTCTTTGTCCTGCCTGCCTAACTAGCTGGCAATCCCAGAATTGCTCTGAGTGTTAGATTTCTCATCTGCTAAGTGACAAATGATTGGGCCTGTCTGGTGGGTTGTTATGAGAATTACCTGATAAATGACTTGTGGGACACTTACCCTGTGCCGGGCTTGCCAGCCAGTCACAGAGCCTTTCTAGAGCCCAGGGTCTGGGAGTCCTTCCTCAGGTGGCCTGCTCCTTCTGCTGGCTGCTTCCAGGAAGGTTTGGTATTATTTGAGGAGGGGCGAAGAAGATCCACGATGACAGCAAGTCACAGACGAGAGGGCCCAGCACAGGAAGGACAGGTGGACACAATTTGTGCCCACCATGCAGGGTTGTGCCCCATTGTCCCTGTCCACATGGAGCTCGTGTCCACTGTGTAGTATGAACGCATGGCTAGTAACCAATAGTGAGCACTAAGCCAGGTCCATCGGGACAAAGGCACACAGAGACCTGCTCCTTCTTAGCTGTCCCTCCCTGGGGAACTTGGGGAGCTTAGCAGTGATGTCAGTGGCCAAGTGTCCACCAGCTGGCCTTGGGAAGTCACCACCTGGCACAGTCAGCCTGGGGACAGGAACTGTCATCAGTGTGTGCCAGGGCCTGAGGGCAAACCAGTTCTATCCACACAGGGGCCTCTGAGGTGGGACTCCAGCTACCCCATGCTCTGAGTGGGAAGTGGAGGCCAAAATCCCTCCTGGCTGGGAAGTACTACTGAGTGCTGGGTTTAAAGCCAGGTCCCTGGGAAAGGCACAAGGGTCCCTTCCCCCAAGATTCCCCTCCTAGGGAACATGGAGTGCTGAGCAGGGATGTCAGGTGACGAGTCACCTGCACAGGTATCTGGGCCACTTCATCCCCCATCCCTCCCCGTACCAGACATACCTGGCTAATGTCAGCTGTCTAGTGGCCTTTCTTCTGGTCTGTCTCCCCTCTGGAACACACTTCTTGTCTGGCACAGTGTTCTCAAGCATACACACACAGACACACAGACACACAGACACACAGACACACAGACACACAGACACACACACACACACACACACACACACACACACAGACCAGTGGTCTACATAATACTTGCCCTGCCTGGGAGGCTGCTCTGCAATGCCTGTTACTTAAAATCCCAGCCTGCCCCACTAACCTTGTTCATGGTCCATTGTGGAGTGTCGGCGGCAGTGTGGGGGCCTCTGTCTGGCACTGTCATTTTAAATGACCAGTGTGTTCCCTCTACCATGGTCTCCAGATCCCCCACTGGACCCTGGAGTACTCTGACACAGGGCTCTGACAGTCATAGACAACCATCCTCACACTGAGCCGTGTTCACACCGCTCATTCTTCCCTCTGGTTTCTGAATGACAGGGGAGGACACTGGGGTCCTATTGCTGGGTCAGCACCCAGGCAGACAGGGCAGACCCTCTCCTGCTGCTGGGGAGTGAGTGTCCATTCCTCTTGGCTACCCTGTTTCTAGCTGAACCTCAGAGAGACCCCAGACCTCTGGGGAGGAGGTGCCTGTTGTCAGGGGGAAGGTATCTGAGTATACCATACTCAGGGTGGGGTGGGGATGAACTCAGCTGGAAGGGACAGCATGTCCAAGGGCTGCTCACAGGGTTGCAGCGAACAGGTGAAGTGGGCATGGGAAGGTTAGCAGAACCTCTAGCCACAGACACAAGAGAAGGGTATAAGCTGGTTTGGAGCTCATACAATATGGCACTATGATGGCTAAGAGACTTAATATGGCCAAAGCCATCTGGAAAGACACAAGTCAGACCCATCACCTGTGGCAGTAAGCCCAGGAGGCCACCGGTTCCCCAAGCAGCTAGCCTGCCCTAAGTCAGGCATGTAGGAAGCCAGATGGTCTCCATGACCATGCAGGAGGCCGAGAACCCAGGGCAATGGGTCTCAGCTGGCCTAGTATGTGGTTAGTAACTGACAGCTTCCCTAATTCTGTGCCTGCTTCTGACTGTGGACTTCCTAGAGAGAGCCGAACATGCCCCTGATGGATCCCAGGGTGTCCTGCATCGTGAGGGCACAGTTACCTGCTTCCTTTCCTATTAGCAAGCTTCTCATCCCTGTTGCGTGGGAGTCTTTACCCAGCACAGGGGATTTGGTCAAGTCTCGTGCTGGGCAAGCTTGGAGCCCATAACCTTGCTTTTCCCAGGGTGGGGGGTGCAGTTTGTGTGTTTGCACAACACACAACCTCAGCAGGCTTGGTTGTAGCAACTGTTTCATGGCCTCTCTGAGAACCCAGCTTTGGCAGTCCTATACCCAGCAGCCCAGCTGGCGATGTTTCCTCTGGAGGTCTGGGCTAGGCTCCCTCCTGAAGGCTTCCGCATCTAGGACCCTCCCTCTTGCACCCCTGGTAGTGGAGCCTGCACCTTTGGCAGCAGCCCTCACACACCCACCGGTCACAGCTCTGTGCTCTCTGCCTCCCTCCTCCTCTTACTCTGACTAGTGGCAATGTGCTTGCAGGAAGCACAACATTTTGTTGGGGGCTGACTGGAGAGTGGAGGAAGTTCCAGGCCAGCAGAGCAGAAGGGAAGGTGGGCCAGGAAGAGTGGGAGGCTTTTAAAAAAGACTTTGGGGTTTTTTTTTGCATTTTTAATGATCATAATGAAGATACCTAAAACTGTGGTTTCTGGAAGAACCACTTGTTCCCAATCAGATCAGCTTGTGCCTGTCCTTGGACTTGACCTCAGGCCCTGTTTCCTGGCCTGGCTCTGCAGAGCAGCGTTGGAACCTTCCCAGACTCACGGGGGAGGGGAGGGCTGGAGGGCTTCAGGAGCTCGTTCTGGATCCCTCTTGGGGGAAGGAAGTGTGGACAGGGCAGGGGTTTGCACTGTGCTGTTGTTAGGATGGGCTCTGCACACACTCCCTGGGCCCTCTTGGTTCTGCCTCAGGTCCAAGCTGGGCACTGAGGCTACCACTGTGTAACATCACCCTTTCTTGGGTAATTTGCCATTTTGCATGAAGAGAGGCCGGGATATTGTGGAGGTGGTTAGTAGCCACCCACGTCTAGGCATTCAGAACCATATAAACGTTTCCAGGCTGAGACACCGGGGCCCATGGTGATTGTGCTGCCTGACCTTTGGGAGGATGCGGGTAGTGCTGCTGACCGCCCTTCTTGCTTTGGTCTCTGTGCCCAGGGCTCAGGCAGTGTGGCTGGGAAGGCTGGACCCTAAGCAGGTAATGGCAGTCCTGAGCAGCAGGTTGGTCCTAGGGAGCCAAGGCTTACCTTTGAGGTCACACAGCTTCTGGGTCCCCTGGGCCAGCCTGCACTGGCAGGGGTGGCAGTGGCTGGGTTGCATGAGGGGCCCCTGGGGCTTCCTGACAGAGGACACCTTGAGGAGGAGAGCCAGGCCTCTCAGCTGACTGCCGTCCATGCAGCTTCTTGGGCCCTGGTACATCCTGGCCGTGGCCTCCCGGGAAAAGAACTTCATGGTGGAGAAGGACGTGAAGAACGTTGAAGGTGTCATGGTGACGCTCACTCCAGAAAACAAGTTGAGGGTGCAGTCGTCTCGGCACGGGTGAGTGAGCAGCACTGTGACCACAGCCCTGTGCAGGCCTCCTTGGCAGGCAGGCCAGCCTTCGTGGACGCAACCGGCAAGCCACGTTCACTCGGCTCAGCAGAGGCTGACTGGACTCTGCACACCTGTTCCTGGGTACATGGCGGCTCCTTGAGCCCCCTGCATTTCCTCCCTCTTCCTGCTGGGCTCTGTTCTGAGCCCCACATTCTTTGTCAGCCTCTCATATCTGCACTCCTGGACCCTGGGCCCAGCTGGCCTCTGACCGCCCAGCCTGACGCTTTGGGTTAAGCCCCCAGACACGGACGCCAGGGCGTGGGGTTCAGGAGGGTCAGGCTGACAGGAGAGGCAGGGGCGTCCTGGGTTTTATTCTACTTGGATTTGTTCATTGGCCTTTCAGTAGGAAATACATTGGCACAGTTCAAAAATCAGAGTTGCTGAGTGGGCACTTCAGGTCGTTCCTCCCGCCCTGCCTTAGCCAACCAGGGCTTTGATTTGTGGCCACTCGTCAGAGCGTGCTGTCACACTGTTGCACGGCCATCACCACCAGCCATCCACAAAACTCTCATCTTCCCAAACACTGTCCTCATGTATTAGCCTTATGTCACCATGACAAAACACCTGAGGTAACAGCTTTTGAGGAGGTGGGGTTTGCTTTGGCTCACGGGGTCAGGGGTTTCAGCCCACGGTGACTTGGCTGGCCCTGTTGTGTTGGGCTGTGCCAGCACAGTACATCATGGCGGAGAACACGTGGTGGAGGAGGCTGCTCACTTCATGACACTGGGAGAGAGCGAGCGAGAGAGAGAGCGAGAGAGAGAGAGAGAGAGAGAGAGAGAGAGCGAGCGAGAGAGAGAGAGTGAGAGAGAGAGCGAGAGAGAGAGCGAGAGAGAGAGAGAGAGAGCGAGAGAGAGAGAGAGCGAGAGAGAGAGAGAGCGAGAGAGAGAGCGAGAGAGAGAGAGCGAGAGAGTGAGAGAGAGAGAGAGCGAGAGAGAGAGCGAGAGAGAGAGCGAGAGAGAGAGAGAGAGAGAGAGCGAGAGAGCGAGAGAGAGAGAGAGAGAGAGAGAGAGAGAGAGAGCGAGAGAGCGCAAGGGAGGAAGGGCAGAGTCTCTTCAAGGGCATTGTCCCTAATGACCTATTTCCTTCCACCAGGCCACCTCCTAAAGATTCTCTGGTTCCCAATAGTTGAAGGCTGGGCCCAAGCCTTCAACAGCTGGCCTCAGGGACACTTCCAAACTACAGGACGCTGTTAAACACCAGCTCCTCGTTACCTCCCCAGGCCCCTCCCATCTCTACAGGTCTGACTACAGGGGACCTCAGATAAGTGGATCCTACAGGACTTGTTCCCTAGCCCCATGTCCTTCACGTCCATCCCGCCTTCCTCCCTAGCCTGGCGGTGCTCCTCTGTATGGACGAACCACATGTTGTTCACTCATCACCCATCAACAGTCACTGAGGTTCTTCCCCTCCCAGCCATCTGAACATGCTGCAGGGAACAGGGGTGCACAAATATGTCTTCTAGACCCTACTTCCAATTCTTTCGGGCTCATACCTGAGTGGGATTGCTGGGTCACGTGGCAGTGTCACATTTGACTCTGAGGTGCTCTGTGGAGTACCCACCTTGCCTTTCTTAGCCAGTGGCTGACGGACACTTAGATGACTGCCAGTCTTTTGCATTTGGACACACAGTAGGCAATGAACCTTGGTAAGTTCGCCTCTGGGGGCAGAGCGTCCACCTGAAGGCAATGAACCATGGTAAGTTCATCTTTGGGGGCCAAGTGTCCACTTGGAGGATTAATCTCTAGAACAGCACGAGCCTCATCATGACGGTCCAGCTCTTGTGGCAGTTCCCTTTAGCATTTCCTGGTCCTTCTTATCACAGTTGTCTTGTTCATCCTTGCTGTCAGTTTGTTTAGTCTAACAAATACCACCACACACTCGTTGGGTTTGCTCACTTTTGGGACTGAGAACTCTGGGAGCCTTGACCCCTTTTGAGGCTGAGTCTGTTTGCTTGAGTCACAGGCTGACCTCTGTGTGTGCCCTCCGAAGGCCCCATTCTCCCCACGTGTACCAGGTGTCACAGGTGTCCTGGGAGGGGAGTCACTTCTCTGCCCGCACCAGGCAGTCTCCCTAGAGCAGGGTTTCTGGGTAACTGGAACTTCGAGAGGGGAATGAATTCCCTCTGTGGTCTTTCCAGCTGGCTGGCCAGGTGAGGCGTGCTGGAGGCCTGTCTCCTCTTCTGGTGCCAGTGTCTTGATGCTGCACTGAGGGGCCCTTTAATTTCCAGGTTGGACGGGTGCCACCAGAGCACAATGGAGCTGCTGAAGCGAGATTCCAGATGGGTATTTGAGAACCCCTGTGAGTATGACAACCTCAGGGGCTTCCTCCGGGTGATGCTTGGCTGGACTGTCATGGAGGCCAGCCCTTACGGTGTCCCCAAATCCTTGGTTGGCAGGGCCAGGACTGGCAGGAGGGGCCACAGTATTCCAGGGACATTCCCCATGGGAAGTGAAAGGATCTGACTTTGTCAGGGTCTTGGAGCTGATCCTGAGGACAAGAGAGACCCCTGGACAGAGGACTCAGACCCCGTGTCCCCTAGGCATGCACAGATGCCCATGGAGGGGGGCCCAGGACCCCTCTATAGGTGCAGAGGGTTGAGCAGCTATCTATCACCACAGGGATGGAGTTGGGGAAGGGTGACCCAGTCTCTCCTCAGTTACTCTAGGACAAGCTAGGACAAGCAGTGCTGTCCATCTGTCCATCAGTATCTAAGAGCAGCTTCTCAATGGCACCATGTGGGGGTCAGGAGCCAGAGGACAGAGCTCGGGGTGTCTTCTAGGTCTGATGGGGTCTCACCTTGAATCTGCACCCCCAGTCCTGTGGCTGATCCCAGACCAGTGGCCCTGTCCTCACCTGGGGTACGCATCTGCTTTCTAGCCCTGGGTGTGCTGGATTTCCGGGTACTGAGTACCAACTTCAAAGACTTTGCTGTCGTCTTCACCCAGCTGGAGTTCGGGGACGAGGCCTTCAACACTGTGGAGCTGTACAGTGAGTGGGCACAGGCGGGGCCACTCAGAACCTTTGGCACCCCAGACTCAGGGACTCTGTGTCCACAGGTGGGAGACAAGCAGGGCTAAATCCCTGCCACCTTGAGGCTTGTGGGTCTGAGGGTGTCCTCTGAACAGTGACCCCAGCCCCTTTCTGGGGTCACTGTCATGGGCAGGTGGCCCCTCTCCATGCCCTGTCTGGCTCTCAGAGGCTGCCCCTCTCTTGCACAGGCCGGACAGAGATGGCCAGCCCAGAGGCAACACAGCTCTTCACCAAGTGGAGCAGGGGTCTGGGCTTCCTGTCTGAGCAGCAGGCCCAGCTACAGAAGGACCGTGAGTGTGCTTGAGAGTAGCCCCAGGGGAGCTTATGCAGTCCCTGTGCCTGTCAGGTGCGACAGGGCCTGGGGGTCATTTCCTGGCTTTTGCACGTTTCTGGGGGCTTTGATGGGTCACCCATCCCTGTCAGAGTCAAGCCTGCAGGAATGGCCCCCTCTCAGGTGAGGCTTATGGGCAGGGTCCTGCAGCCCTGTTCTCATAGCTGGTCTGGCCTCTCTTTTCAGTCACCTGTGCAAACAAGATTCTCCAGGTCAGCCTCCCTGTGCCTGACCCCTGGCTCTCCAGGGTCCCTGGGAGGACCCTCACCCAAATTCAGGCAGTTGATGCCATGACTGACGAGGTGAGGCTGGCTGAGGTCTCTGGTGGGCCGTTCCCCAGTGCTCGCCCTGGTTTTCAGTGAGTATGGCAGCCCTCGCGATGATGCACAGGATTCTGGTGTAGCTGGGTGGGTGCTGTCCTCCTCACTTGGCAGCCCGAGGTGCGGGCATTGGCTTCTTGCTCCCGCAGGCCCTTGTTGGACTCAGAATAAAGAGATTCCAGAAGCAGACCTGCCCCTGTGTGTCTTGACTGGCCAGGCAGTGCTGGGTGGGCAGAGGACTGTGCAGGGAGGACAGGACATCACAGAATCCTCAACCCGGGACAAGAGGACAATTACCCTTGTCAGAGTAATTGGGTGTGGACAGAGCAAGCTGCTTCTTCCTGGGGAACTCTGCATGGCTCCAGACAGGCAGAGGTTGATTTGCGTGGCTTCAGCCAAGTGCCTTTGGGATAGGTCTGGACACTGGTTGGGCAGGGGGCTGGATCAGGAGGTTGGTGCTGGGAGCAGATAGGACTGACATCATTCATAACAAGGGGAGGTACATGCGGGGAACCTTGGTCCCCAAGGCTGCACACACACAGTGCATCCACCTACACGCATGCACACATTTTCCTCCTTGGCCATTGTGACCTTCTTAAACTCTGTGGCCCAAAGTCTGTATCTGGAGAGTCCACCTTGCTGCCCCATGCAGCAACGTCCTGGTGATACCCTGCCTTCTGCCTCTCTCCTGAGGGGTCTAGGATGAGAGGCCCAGGGCATTCACTACAGGTGAGAGGGCCAGGGTTGAAGTGGTGTTCAGGTGACATATTATGGCCCTATGCCCACAGCAGCAAGTGATGTGAAGGACCAGAGCCCCAGTGTGACCTCTGACAACCTTCAGGGACATCTGAAGAATAGCCAGTGCCTATTGTGGCTGTCAATGTCCATGCTGAACACAAGTGCCCAGGCCAGCCACTGTGCCACAAGGAGGGGCAGAGTCCAAAGCCACATCTGTGCACCTCCCACTCCACCGTCCCTGCCAGACCCAGCTGGCTCGAGGCTTAGGGGTGGGTAAGGCACCTGCAGCAGGGTGGGCAGGGTAAGCTAAGGAAGTTTAAATGTGGCATCTGGCCCTCTGGACTGAGGGCAGGTGAGGATGAGGCTGGGGCCAGTGCTGGTCCTGGCCCTGGCTCAGGTCCCTGGCTGTGGGGTCCCAGCTAAGGGACCATTTCCTCAAGGAGGCCCACACCTTCAACTGGACCAAAATGAGCCATATGCCTGCTGGGCTCTAAGCCAGGCATCAGGGCTACAGGGGGCTAGGATGCAGAGGCAAGTGGACCCTTTGGGGACAAAATTCTAGCTATAGGGGGAGCTCCTCCCTAGCAGGAGGTTGGAGCACAGATCCTGCTATATCCAGCCCGGCCTTTCCCATTGGAGTCCTCATCCCTGGGAGCCTGGGGAGGTGCTCTGCAAAGGGGGCTGAGAGCCCCAAGGAGAGGGCAGGGTGGAGGCGCCCAGAGAACAGCATCCTCTTGGGGTCTGAGGAGGTGGAATGAGCAGAGCATGCTGGAACAAGGAGACTGCCTGGGTAGAAAGTTCTGGGTAGGACGGCCATGGGCATGGTGGCTGGGTGGCCCATGGGGGCAGCACTCACAAGGCACAGTGGTGCCCAGGAGTGAGGGGTCTGCAGCAGGAAAAGCCAGTGGTCAGGGGTCCAGGGGCAAGAGGGAAGGGGAGGGGCTGGGTCCAGAGGCCCAGGTAGGTAGGAGTGGGCCTCTGAGGTGGGCAGGGCAGGCTCCGTGCTGCTGGTGCCCACAGTCCAGCCCGGGGTCTTCTCAGGCCCCTGACCAGCTGGGCATCATCTCTTTTAGCCTGGCTTGGGCAGCCAGGGCCCTGGAATGGGGGGCAGTGTCCACCTGCAGGCACTGATGTGAACTGGGCCTTGGAAAATTGTCACTTGCAGCATGGGGCAGCAGCTTGGGCACTGTACTTTCTGGTAGCCCCACGGTTTTCAGGGTTCTGGTACATTGTTGCCATTGCCACAGATGCCCAGGGCTTCCTGCTGGTCAAAGACAAGAGGAAGCTGGGGGCGTCCGTGGTGAAGCTGCCCAAGATGGGCCAGGTGAAGGTGGTCATCGCCTTTAGCAGGTGAGTGGACGTTGGTCTTTGCAGATTGGTCAGAGGAAGCTCACTGTCCAGGAAGGAGAACAGCAGGAAGGGGAAGGGGTCTGAGGAAGAAGCAGACTTGTTGGTCACTCTGAAAGTTCCACAGGATCTGTACCCCATCCCTTCCTCCCCTAAAATCTGAGGGACGGTTGTGGGAGAAGCACACAGTGTGGGGATTGGGTGCTGGGAGCTTTTCTCTCAGCTCGGGGCAGACCCTTGCCAAAATTGGAAAATTCGTGTCCAAATTGGCCACCTAACAAGATGGTCTTAGGGTGGTGCCAGTGAGCAGGAAGGACTCTGGCCACAGCTCAGTACCTCTTCCCTAGGTCTCAGGGCTGCCAGTCCCAGGAGATGACCCTGAAGAAAGACAGGAAAAAGGCTGTGTTCAGGAACACCTGTGCGTAGGATGCCAGGGGTCGTGGGGGAACCGGATGAGATGCCAGTAGCAGCCCTCTGCTCTGAGAGCCTGGCAGACATGTTGGATGCCCGGGACAGGCAGGCAGGCTGGCTGTGATCCCAGAGCTGACTGTGCTTCTGTGGGCAGCCTGGCCAGGGTGGTGAAGCCAGGGGTGACGGGCTTCCCTGGACTGGCACTGGGCTGTGGGCCTCATGTCCAGGCACCAGCAGGCCACTGCAGCTTCTCTTGCAGTGAAGGGGGTGAAGGGCTTCCATGTGCTGTCCACTGACTACAGCTATGGCCTGGTTTATCTCCGCCTGGGGCGTACGGACCACAGCTATAAGAAGCCTGCTGCTCTTGGGTAAGTGTGACCCTGGGGCCCCTGGCCTTGGGTCCCTCGGGAGTCGGGGGGGCATGTGGAGAGAGGCAGGCTACAGAGGACAGGAGGGCACTGGCACAGAGGGCAGTGTGGAGGGGAGAGGGGGCTGCAGGTGAGTGTGCTTGGTGAGGGAGGGATGGTCAGTGCAGGTGCTCTGAAAGGGGCAGCGAAGTGGAAGCCACCATGTGTAGGTCTGAAGGTGGTGCAGCAGGGGGTGTGGTGTCCTTTAGGGAAGGGAGTCAGGATGGGGACGGTATGGGATGGCCATCCAGGTGGGTGGAGCTGCCCAGATGAGGTTGGGATGAGGGACGCAGGTTCCAAGCCCTGGGTGAAAGGGTCAGGATGGGCTGGTTGAACACAGCAGGGGTGAGGAGAGGGGACCAGGGAGGGGTTCACCCCAGGTGGAGTGTGTGGAAGTGATGAGGTAGGGTGAGGGGCAGGAGCCCTCTTCCAGGCACCAAGTGTGGGTTATGGGGATGGGCAAGGGCAGCTCTGGAGAGGGCAGAGGGAGGGGTCCTGGCTCAGTCCATGTGCTCAGGTGGCATACTCAGAGTGCAGTGTCCTGGACACATGCCCAGTGCCCACCCCTGTACATAGTCCCAGCCCCAAGCCTTGCTGCCGTGGAAATGGGGGACAGGACAAGTGACAGTGGGGGGCATGGGGTGGGGGTGGGGATGCAACCTCTCAGATGCCAGAACAGGCATCTCTGCTGCTATGATTCTGGCTCAAACTGCAGACAGACAGAATTCTCCAGCTTCCTGAGTCTCAGAGAATTCCTGGACACCTGCTACACTTTGCAGCTCACCAAGGAGGCCACCATTCTCCGAAAGACGGTACCATCCAACCTCACACTTTACTGTCTGGCCCTTGCCTGTCCCTGCCCCGCTGCTCATGAGGGATGGCAGAGAGGAAAGAGTTGAGTTTTGATCTTCAGAGGCCAACCTCATGGCTTTGTTCTGTAGCGTCTGGAGGAGCACACGTGGAACCAGGGAGAGGTCCTGAAAGCAGATGGTGCAGCAGTGGCGCCCACAGCAGCCCACCCTCCACCATTGTCTTCCTCCCCTGCAGCTTCCTGTGCACACACCATCCTGCCATGAGGGACAGTCACCTTCTGCTCTTTTCCATCAACTTGTGGTCCTTGCAGACACTGGAAGTGTTCCAGATAGCAGGTCTTCATGTCAAGTGACTTGAGAGGTATTTGGTGACCACAGGCCACTGACTATGGAAAATGTGGTTCTGGCTCTGACTGCAGAGCCCTGGGGAAGGAGGGCACTCGCACCCGGGCAGAGAGGTGCTAAGTAGGCTCGTCCGCCTGTCCTGTGTATGCTGCATGTGTGCCACTGCTGGTCCTGTCTGCTGTGAAATAGACCACAGGCCTGTCTAGTGTAAACGTCACCATGCGCCTCTCTCTGTGCATCACCCATGGGTTCCTTGTCGCCCCATATCTTCTCAGGAAGCCGCTCACTCACCCACCAAACATTTCTGGGTGCTTGCTGTGTGTGATGCACCATGCTGGCCACTGGACAGTGGGTTAGGAATCATCGTGCTGGCCACTGGGCAGAGGGCTGTGAGATACTTCATGGCCCAGGATAGTCTCACGTGTACTGCAAACCTGGTTGCTCCCTGGATGACATTGCCCTGACCCCCAAATTTCAGAGGCAGCAGCATGGCCAAGGTTCTTCCTAGAGTGTGTGTGGTTGGTGCCAGATGACTAGATCATGAATCCAGAGAAAGCAGTGGTTCACGTCTGTAATCCCAGCTACTTAGGAATCACAGATTGAGGTTTGAGGCCAACCTAGGCAGAAACCTGGTTGAGACCCTATCTTAACCAATAAGCTGAGTGCTTGTCATCCCAGCTAAGCAGGAGGCATAAGAAGAAAAATTATGATCCAGGCTGGTACCAGCAAAAAGTGAGACCATATGTGAAAGATAACTAAAGCAAAAAAAAAGGGCTGGAGGTGTGGCTCTAGAGGTAGAGGACCTGCCTAGCAAGTGCAAAGCTCTGAGTTCAAATCTCAGCACACCAAAAAAAGAAACCAGGAGAGAGCCACAGAGGAGCCCACAGGTAAGCTTACAGGATATGGACTGCATGGACTATGCTGGGTCTGTAACCTCAGGGGATGGTGTTAGGACATGAGACATTTGGGAGGGAATTTGATGAGGTTGTGACACGGGTCCTCATAATGGGGTCAGTGCTCTGAGAAGGAGACACCTGGCTTTCTCCCTGCTTTGTGAGGACATAGCAAGAAGGCACACTGCCATCCAGGAAGAGGCCCCCACCAGCACACAGACCCTGACCTTGGACATCCACCTCCAGAATTGTGAGAAATAAATGCTGTTTAAGCTTTTGTCTGGGGTCTTGGTTATGGCAGCCCTGGCTGCCCACGTGCAGGTCCACAGGCTTTCAACCTTGCCTGGGGCCTGGGTCTCGGAGGAGAGGTGCCCTTGAATAACCTGTTCCCATTTGGCCATTCTGAGGGTGTAGGGGACAATGAAAGTCCTTCCTGTCTGGGAGGCAGAGAACCTCCAGCTGGACATGAGCTCCTCACTCACAGGCTGGGCACTGTGTATGGAGGTGGCACTAATTGCCCTGCCTGGACACTGGGGACAGGCTCTTCCTCTGAGCTCAGCCCACAGGCCCAGAGCTGGGGGGTCTGTCTGTGCGTTGTAGGTCAATGTCCCCCACTCGGTGTCATCTGCACTTGTGAGGGAGAGGAAGGTGGGTGAGCTTCCGGTTTCCTGTAAACCTTGGTCACTTCCCTCAGGGCCGGGTGCTGGTCTTTTCTCATGGCTGAGCCACTAGGATGAGGATGGCCGTGGCTCTTCCCACAGAGCAGGACAGGAATCGGTGGTTTCACTTTTCAGAAGCAGCAATAAAGGTGAGTGGCCACACCCAGCCACTGATGTGTACACATGCACACACAACCACCCATCCACCAGTGCACATGCAAGCTTGCCCTCGTGCACACACACTACATGCACAACCCATTTGAACACACGCCTACACACAGCACATCCAAGCACACATGCACACACATCCACACACACACCCTACCCTGTCTTGTGCACAATGCACATATGTGCACATGCAAACATGTATGCCCGTCACAGGCCCATGCACACAAGCACACAAATACATACACACAAGCACATGCACACCGATGTACATGCACCTCCTCGTGCCACCTGCAGCTCAGAGCAGAGCCCACCATGCTAGCTGGTAGATGGGAGGTGGTAGGGCCTTTAGGAGGAAGTGAGGTTACTGGGACTGTACCCTTGAAGGGCTGGTGCCAAGAAGTGGGTATTGGGACCCCAGTCCCTCTTGCCTTTCTCTGTCCCCAAAATGCCACGAGATGAGTTGCTTTGCTCCACCACACACTCCCCGCCATGACGTATTGGGCCTCCACAGGCCCAAAAGCAATGTAGTTAAAAGACCATGGACTGAAACCTCTGAAACTTCAGTCAAAATAAACCTTTCCTCCTTGTAAGTTGATTACATCAGGTATTTTGTCACACCGATGCAAAGCTGAGTGACACAGAGATGAGGGGTGAGGACTGGGCAGCCTGTCATCCGGGGATTCCCAGACCAGTTCCACTTTGCACCTCTCCTTCCTGGGATCACAGGGTTTGGTCACAGCAGTGGCCTGATTGTGGCTGCTGTAGTGAGGGGAGGGCGACTCAGTGGGCTTGGGTGGATGGAACCCAGGAGACGTAAAGACTGGCAGGGGCCCATGTAGTGGGCAGAGTCCAGAGTGCAGTGGACAGTTCTAGCCTCCTTGGCCAGGCTCAACCCTTTGGGGATGAAACCTGTAAGACCTCAAGGACTCCATCTGCCTCTCCCACATGGGCCCTTTCCTCGACTTTAGCAGGTCCACCAGAAGTGCAAGCACTGACTTCTAGGAAGGAGGTTGGAGGGCAGGGGGCCACAGGGGAGGTGACGGGGGAAGAGGAAGAGGTGGGGCAGAGGCGTCCACTCTCTTAGAAACAAACCTGGAGCCAGTGCATGGGGTGGGGGACATACCAGGTGACACTGGAGGGTTCCCAAGAGTCTCAAGATCTGCCTGGGCTAGGGGCGTCCCCAGAGCAGACTTGAGAACAGATTGCGGGGTGCTGTGCCCACCATCTGGTCACTTGGAAGTAGGATAAAACCCTCCTTGTTGTGGAGGAGGCACATGAGAAGATAGCCTCAAATTCTTGCTCTACAGGTGCAGGCTCCACAGGCTTCCAGAAGTTTCTTGTGGCCACAATTCTCTGTTGATGACCCATGGATTACCATCCAGGGTCCTTGGCAAATGCTTTCCTATCCCTGCAGATCATTTTGAGCAGAGCAGCCTGTGGGCTTGGGGGGCTGGGGACCTGGGATGTGCGGAGCATGGCAGAGCACTGGGCCACTCATCCTGTGTCCAGGGAAGAGACTCGCTCTGTTGGAGCCACAGGGTCCTCATTTGGAGGTGGGAGCAGGGTCATGGCCTTGGCTGGGGTGAGGAGGCCTCCTGAGTGAGTTGGACACTCTGGGAGCCAGCAGAGGGAAGAGGGGGAAGGGAGGTTCTGAAGTTAATTTCATCTCCCCTGGAACTCCCAGGACTGGCTTATCTGTCTCCTGGGCCCTGGGAACTCCCTTTCTGGAGGACACTCACACTCAGATGAGCGCTGCAATTCTGCCCTCATCCTGCCTGGAGTGCAGTGCTCACACTGACCACTGGGGGACAGCAGTGCCCACCAAGCTCAACAGGGCAAGTGAAGCCAGGGAGGGTTCCCAGAGCCATCCGTGCCCCTGCCTCCTACCCACCTGACGCCCCACCACTAGCATCCCTCAGAGACAGGAGGGGCCCCAGTATCTCTTATCTTTTCACTCAGCTCTATGGCTGAGCCCCATGCAGGCCCTGTGTTGGGCCTTGGTGGGGCTCTGAAAGTGACCAGTGGCCTTGGTCTTTAGAGGCTGCCATGCCATAGCTGGAGAGGCACCAAAGTACAAAGCAAGTGCATGAGAAGGAAAAAGGCAGGCAAAAACACAGCCGCTGTGTGGAAGGGCTAGGGACACTAGGTTGGGATCTGAGAGTCACTGAGGTGACATTTCTGCTAGACCAAGCTCCTACAGTTTCTACCACCTCCCAACACAGTGCCAGTAAGTGAGGAGCCTAGGACCCTGCAGGCAGTGGACCACAGTCTGGGAAGAAGTCCTGTTGTGGGGTCAGAGATTGGGCTTCTCTGGAAGGCAGGGGTCTTACCTGTTTTTGGAAAGTCTCACTCAGGCTTTGGAAAAGCTGTCATGTTGGGGATCTTGTCTCCTGCAGCCCCAGTCATCCCCTGGCTGCTGTGGATCTCCAGCCATGTCTGGTACCTCCCTCAGTGTCAGCTCTGAAGCACCACCCAGGGCCTCTGCCAGAGTTGTCCTCCTCCTCCCCTGGGAAAATGTCCATTTATTTTTTTCTTTCTCTCTTTTTTTTTTTTCAGTGTGTAGCATGCCATATCTTTAATAAAATATGTCTGTTAATTCATTTAAATTGCTCATTCTAAGTGAATGGGCTCAGTGCAAGAAGGACTGGTGATGTGCCCTGCGCCCACATTGAAAGGCCTGTGCTTGGGGCCTCTGTGATCCCAGCCAAAGAAAGTTTCATCATGTGCAGATCCCTGGTCCTTGGTTCACTCACCTCCCTATTTATCCACACATTTGCTCATCCAGCCATTCTCTCCTTCACTCATGCACTCGTTCAGTAAGTACTCATTGGTTCCTGCTGCATGTCCTTCTCCAGGCATCATGACCATGGTGAGCTGCTCATGTGGGCCTCATGTCCACTATGTGATGTGGAAGGACCCAGCCCAGGGATTAGGAGAGACGATGGGCATCAGGAACCACTCATTTTATTAAAAAAGAGGCTCATACTTCTTTCTCCTTTTACTTTATCGTTTTTACATTTACTCACATGTGTATACATTGATTGTCTGTGCCACCCCCTTCCCCCTGACGCCTCCAGGCAGAACCTGTTCTGCCCTCTTCTCTGATTTTGTTGAAGAGAAAACTTAAGGGATAAAAAGAAAGACAGAGTTTTTGCTAGTTTGGGATAAAGATAGCTATACAGAGAGATTTCTAGCATTGCTTCCATGCACTTGTGTATTGCAACCCACATTGGCTCATTTCTGCCAGATCTCTTCGTTACTTCCTGTTCCCCTTCCCATAGTGGCCTCTGCTAATTTAAGATTACTTTATTCTCTCCACAATAGGGAGCACACCAACCACATTCAAGTTTTAGGTTTCCTTTCCGTTCCCTATTTCTCCCGTGTGTTCTCCCCTTAGTGTGTGACCCATGTTCAATAATATCACTGCATTTGTTTTGGGTCTATAATCCGCATATGAGGGAGAATGTGTGAGTTTTGGCCTTCAGAGCCTGGCTAACTTTGCTTAAGATGATGTTCTCTATTAATAGGCTCATACTTTAAAGAAATGTCAAAGATTAGTCAAATTGATGCATAGATTCAACTCTGCCACTATGAAAATCCCAGGGTTTTTGCTTTTGTTTTTTGCAGATTTTTACTAGTGGATCTTAAAGCTCCCATTAGTCAAGGTGTGGAGAAATCGAGATCCACCCCCCACACACACACTCTGCCTGGGGAAGTGAAATGGTGCAGCTATGGTAGAACCCAATCTGGCAGTTCTCCAAATGGTCAGACAGTCACTCTATGACCCAGGAATTCCAGGAGAAGAAATACAGCCCAGAAAACTGAAAACGTGGCCACGCAAAAGCTTGTGCATGACAGGCCAAAGCACATCGTTCATCTTGGCCCTGAAATGGAAACAACCCAGATGGCGTCCACCTGGAGAAAGACAAACAAAATATGGTCTATCCGTGCAGTGGAACCACGTTAGCCACAAACAGGAATGAAGTTCTGACCCTCGCTGCCTCATAGAGGAGCCTGGAAACATGCTCGCGGGAAGAAGCCAGCCACAAGGCCACATCGTGGGTCATCCCACTCACAGCAAGTGGGCAGAAGAGACGAAGCCCTAGGGTTAGAAGTGGGTTCATGTTTCCAGCTGGGCTGGGCGGGGGGTTGGTTGCTAATGGGCGTGCAGGACCCTGTGGGGTCACAGGAATGTGCTAAAACTGGATTGTGCTGATGGTGCACAGCCCTCAAAGGGACCAAAAATCATCAAACTACACCCAAAGTGGACGACCGTTATGGGATGTAAATGATAGGTCTACAAAGCTGTTCAGAGGTAGTGATCAGAGGTGACCCAGAAGTCAAGGGAAGCAAAGGAATATGAGAACTTAAACTTCCCAGAACTAAAACAGCAGCTGTGTCCAGAATGGCCCTGCTACCGGGGGCTGGTCAGAGTTCAAGCTGAAGGATTTTACTGAGGCTTCAGAGCTTAGTCCCCGTGTAGTTCTGGGACAGCTTCTCAGCAGCCTGGAACCTCTTCCCTCCTCAAAACAAAACCAAAGGAAGAAAGGAGATAAACCCTGAGAACAGTGGCAGAGGGAAAGCTCTGGCTTCCTGAGGCCCACAGAAGGGTGGTAGGTGTGGACCCGACTCTCGGAAGTTACTGGGATGCCTGGTCCCCTGTCTGGCAGCCGGTGCTAGAGGCTTCGAGCCAGCTCCCAGCTTTACTTCCTCACAGGAGAGCCAAGTCAATGAAGGCAGTGTGACATGGCCGGCATGACACGGATATCGGCTGACGCTCCATGGCACAGGAGAATCACGCCCGTTTGAAACCCACTTCCCCATAGGAGGTCCAAGCCAGGTGAAGTCAGCATGATGCAGATATCAAGGTTGGCTCTCCATGGGAACAGTGCCCTACACAGTCATGTGGAGGTGAGGACTTCCATATTGAGAGATAAGTGTGTTTGCCTCTGATGCTTAAAGGTCAGTTGCTACAGTTTAAAAACACACCCTATTGTCAGCCTCATGGCTGGAAATCAGCAGTGGTGCTGCCTCTGATGGTGGTCATGGCCATTCTGACCCTTACATCTCTGCTGACTTCTCCCTGGCCAGCACCTCCCTCTCCCAGACACCCACACCACTCCACAGCACAGTTGTCCCTGGACACACAGCTCCCATGCAGGGCACTGCTTGCTTTACAAGCTGAATCAACAGGCCAGGTATTGGATCCCATGATTGATTGGAGATGAGGTATTGGGTCAATTTTCGTGATGTCATGCAGGGCCTGGGTGCTTCCTGTCATTACTAGGGTGGCCACAGAGTGGGTTCATCCCATGGGGCCTCCTGCTGTGGTTCTCAGGTGCTCTCTGTGCATTCCTTTACTTTCCCTGGGCATTCTGCCAATCACACCTAGAGGGCTGGGATGCTATAGAGCAGTCAGACCCTGGAGCTGGGCGGGTGGTCATTCTCCATGAAGATGCTGACCTGAGTGAGGAGAGAGAGAGGAATGGATGCCAGGAGGCCCCCAACAGCTCCTGAGGGCCCTGCCTTCCTTCTCAAACATCATGCTGACCCGCACATCTGCCCGAGTGAGCCAGTCTCACTTGTGAGTCCATAGATACCCAGGAAAACCCCAGAAAGTGTATAGTGCGTGGGAGACAAAGGCCACCTGCCTGAGGGGAGGCTGTGGGGCTACAGAGTGAGTAGGAGGCAAGGGGCTGGGGAAGAACTACAGCAGAGATGTGAGTGACCCCCAAAATTAATGCCAGCCAGCCAAATCTTAGGGAATTATTGGGGTTGGGTTGAGATACACACAATTTTCATTTTCTTAAAAATGTAAGTTTATCTACAATGCAAATATATTGTGTTCTACTATATTGTGTTCTGCTTAGTGCAAACATCCCTTTCTGATTTACATTGTATAATTAATCAGAAAATTCTGAAAATTTACTAATAGGTACTGAAAGCCCTGTCCATGCCCCCCATGTGGATGGCAGCCTTCCCACGAACACTTTTGTTATGGTGATCATTTGATGGACAATCAGCCCAGAGCTCAAAACAAACAAACAAGTTAAAAAAAAAAACCCAAAAAACAGACAAGGAAAGGAAGGAGAGATTGTTTAAAGGTGGGCAGTTGAGACCTGGTGTATCCCGTGACATGGGGTGGGTGAGCCTGTAGGGTAGCAGGGCCACAGCCTTTCTCAGCTCCTGGTGGGACGATGATGCTGGCATGAATAGCTGTGTTCGTAAGTCCTGTCTGCATCTCTGTGCCTTGGTCAATAGGACTGTAGGATCAAACATCAGCGTAGAGCACGTGATTTGAGTCCCACCCCAGAGAGGACTTCTGGTGCTCGCTGAGGGCGGGTGACAGCTCAGGTAGAAGGAAGCAGCCGGTGGGGAACACCCTCCACATGACTCTGGGCTCAGAGGCCCTACCTCGGCCCTCTCCAGCCTCCCATAGAGCAGCTGCCTCTATGTAGGGTTTTGTAAGGGTTGGAGTCGGGAGACCTGGGTCTGGCCTGGATCAGGCTTGGTTTCCAGGAAACTACCCCATCTCAGTGACCCGGCAGTGGGGCTCCCTCGTTCCCTCGCTGCCTCCCTCATCGTGCTTCCTCTTTCCTTACTGCTGGGGTCT